TACATGTATAAATAATCCCAAGGGATCCCACTCAAAAGATACATCTGGAGGCAAAAGAGAACCTGATAACCATGCAAGAAACAGAAAGGTTGTACTGTGCAGAGAAATGAAGGGTCACATTAAATAGAGAGGGTGGCAGGGGGATAGAGGGAAAAGGGGAAATCAAAGTGGGAATCAGCTCAAAAAGGAAAATATTTTATATATATATATATAAATAAAGACATAAAGAAATATTGAAATAAATAAATAAAAGGGCCACGCTGGAGGAGGATAAGCAGGAGGAAATCAAAGGAGTGCTCTCCACAAAAGGAGATGAAGGAATGAAAAGGAGAACAGACATCAAAGCAGGATCATCTTCCAGGAGAGGGAGAGGTGACTGGAATAGCAACACCGGTGGCACACGGGCTTGGAACTTCAGCCTTGTACAAAATCCAGGGCTAAATCATTAACTGCTGCACAAACAAGAAAATATTACCCCCTTCCCAAGGTGTAACTATTTGTTATGTGGACGATTCCACTGGCTCCCCCCGTTTTATTTGCTGGAGAAGGTGGTTATTTCACCATTTATCTTCCTTTTCTTTGCAGTAGTACAGAATTGCACTGACACTGTCCCTGGGGCCAGACAAATCCCAGATCCCACCAGGATTCATCTGCAGGACTGTTGGAGCAGCAAGTCCCTGACCAACAGCATCTCTGACTGACACCCAAAAGAGTTTCCTCAGCACAAAACAAAGGGCATGGAAAAGTACAGTGCTCCAAGAATTCCTACAGCTTAGGTTGCGAGCTCCCAATAAGATATAAACCTGTAGCACGTAATTTATTATCCAATTATATATAAACCCACATTTGGTGCAGGCAGTGCCCAGCCATGGAAAGGTTTTGCAGGGAGAGGTAACCAAGGAATAAACAAATGCCAGGGGCAGGAAGAAAGGGGCTGACACACACTGTTCATCCAGCACCACTTCAGTGCTGGCTTTGGCAGCAAACACAGCTCCTCTTATCAGCACAGATACCTTTGAAGTGGCTGCCAGGCTTCCCTCCAACACTCAAACCATTGGGACCCTCCACGTCGTCACACGGCCCTGGAGAGGGATCCCATCACAACACAGGGACAGGAACACTGGGAGACACAGCCACAGACCATGCAGGCTGCCCAGGAAACCCAAACACTGCCAAACACAAAGCCTTTGAAATCCTGGGTGCAATGCAGGCACCACTGCTGGAAATTGGGGGGTTCAATGATTTTAAGATAGACCCACCCAAGCTTTGCAGAACAGTCCGAGGGGTCCAGGGTGAGCACATGAGAACCTCAGCCTGAGGATTCTCCATCCCAGTCACTGGAAGAGTCAAACCCCACAAAATGCCACCACTGCTGGAATTTGGGGGGTTCAATGATTTTAAGACAGACCCAGTCAAGCTCTGCTGTGCCCCTTGCAGAACAGTCCAAGGGGTTCAGGGTGAGCACGTGAGAACCTCAGCCTGTGGATTCTCCATCCCAGTCACTGGAAGAGTCAAACCCCACACTCTGCCACCACTGCTGAAGTTCTTCTGGCCAGGGAGAAGGGACTGGTGTTCCCACCTCAGGCTCTGTGCTGCTCCAGCTCCCACCAGCATCCCTGCTGCCAGGAGGATGCATTTCCTTCCCAGCACAGACCTTATCACACCCACCCAGGCCCTTTGCTGCCCTCAGGTTGGATTACAGCTGCACACTGCACTCAGATTCCCTTTGAAAAAGCTCTCCACTTCACACAGGGAGAGATACAGCAGCTCAAGAGTTGAGCAACAAAAGGGACCTTGAGCACATCCTTTTTTCCCTGCTCACCTGCTCCACCCCAGCATGACACAAAGCACTGATTTGAGGAAGCCCTGAGTTACAAACAGCCCAAGAAAAGGATCTTATGCCCCAGGATTTGATTTTCACTGCCCTCAGCAGAGGAGGATCTCTGTGCTGCTCTCCTCTCCATATTTCATAGCATTATTTACAACCCAGTGAGCAGTTCCTAAATATAAGTTACCAGAGCACCTGCAATCAGCCAGACACACGTATAACTCTTTTAGAAGCTGTTTTCCAAAGAGGAGTGTGAAAAAAGAACATTTCTTAGACTTTAAAATAATGAAGTGCCATGGAGATAAGGAGTCTCCATGAAACAAGGACAGAGAGCTCCCAAACCAGCAGCAAGATTGGCACCACAATTCCAACAGCTACAATTTTCACTGGAAAACAGAAAAAAATAAACTCCTGTGTTAAACTAAACCCGAGTGCCCTGACAGCACCTGAGCTAAGGCTGCACTTCATTAAACTGCAGTGCATGGTTAGAGCAGAGAGGAGATGGTGTAGAACCAGAGAATGAGCTGGAACGGCTGCCTGGCACAGGAGAGGCAGGAAACTCCGGTCTCAGAAGCAACACAGCCAGTTATTTCACTGCCATGGCCTGGCTAATTAGGTCTGTGGAGAAGCCACATAAAATTTTCTGAGCTGCAGCAGCACATTCATCCAGCTATGCCCCTGGAACTAGCTCCCATTTGGGTTTTGATCAGGACCTCCAGATCTTGCCCAGCTCCGTGGGAGGGTTTGCAGCACAGCACAGTGGCTTTATTTTCCATGCAGCTCCTGTATAAACCCCATCTGCTTCAAGGCAGATAAAAAGAGCTCAGCTTTCTGAGCTGTCACAAGCTACAGCAGCTCTTCTCCACTGAAAAATAGGAAAGGATGCCTCAAAAGTTCAAAAAAGGATGGAAGATCCTAAGGGGAGAGGGAAGAGAAAGTTCTTCAGCGACTCCTCATCAACAGGAGGAGTTTCCCTTTGGGCTGATGTGGTTGCAGAGGCACAAAAATACATGTCATTCCTAAATATCCTGCCAAGCCACTGAATAATTGCCCATCAATACCTACAGACACTGATCAGAAAGGCAGCCTGAGTGAACAACCCTGGAGAAGTGACTTGATCCACTTGTCCCTGTTTTTTCATCCAGGAAAAGGTAGGAAAGGTACCATTTGTCTGCTTATGGTCCAAAGATATTCTGACAACTCCTTGTGCTGCTTTTGGGATATATTATAGACATGCTGCAGAAGAGTTTCATATATGGGTAACATTTCTTTAAATCCATGGATTATAAAGCTGATTTGCAATATTTTAACCACACACCTCATCTGTTTTCCAGATTGGTACCTTTTGTACCAATTCCTGCTGCTTCTCACAGCTCAGCAAGGGAAGAGATTCCAGTGAAAAAGCACAAGCAGCAGCAGATCCAAGTTCAGCCAAACTTCTCTATTTATCAGCTGCTACCAGATAAGAGAGAATGCAATTTTTGTTTTTAACCACCCAGCACAAGTGGAATAGTAATCAAATACCTGCTTTGGCCTTCAGCCAATGTGATATTCCTGGCAAACAGTCAGGCAACAAGTAGCTGGGATTTATTAACAAGTGCCTTTTGTTTGCTCAAATTATAAATATGGAGTTTGCCCTCGGTCTGTGAGAAAGAAACCAGAGGTGTATTTTGTTGTTGATCAGTTATTTATTTGTTTTTATTCCAGCCTTGCAGCCCAAAATAAAGCATAACCACGGCTTTGCCCTGTTTTATAAAGGGGCTGAAAATGAAGATGCCAGTTCCCAGCCAAAGGGGGATAATATCCATTTCCATGTACCACTTTGCCAAGGCATTTTCCAGGCCACTTTGCTCAAGCACAGCCCTTGTTGAAATTCTGTGGGGAGATTACTTCTCCTTTGGAAGGATTAGAGGAATTGAAGAGTAACTGCCATTCAATAATCCCGTGTAAGTATCTAATCAACCATAATGTAATTACCAGAAAGTTTTAAAAGGTCAAAAAGGCCTTAGTGTGACGTTCCTTGAAAATGAGAAAGATCCCTCCTCTGCTTGGGCAATGACTTAAAAAAAGAGAAGTGTAAGAGAAACAGAGTGTAACAGCTGAATGTATTTTTCATACTCCATTAAAAACTCAAGGAATAGGCAGAGGACAAGGAACACCACAGTGCACTTGCACTGATTTTCATTCTCCCCTAGAAATCACAACACACACAAAAACCTGCTGCAACAGAGCAAATTCATCCTGCTCTCCAGGTAACACAGAGATGCTGCTCCTTCAAGTGCATCTTGACACGAAATATCTCACACAATATTGAGCACTGCTCATTTTCTAGCAGCCTGAACAAACTGAATTTTATAGACTTCCTCCAGCAGTTCGGGCAACAGGGAGAGGTTAAGAAATATCTGAACACTCTTTCCCCTCTCCAGGTCTTGCAAGAGTAGAAATGAACTCCCCGAGCTCATGACACATTGAGAGGGGGTGGGGGCAGAGAAATGGCTTTCAAAGTTAAGAGCTGCAATGATTTCAACATGTTAAGCAGCAGATGTTCCAGCGACTGGCAAATCTCTGCAGAGACCAGGGAACAGGAGTTTCAAAGCTTCCAGATCGTGTTTCTTTAACTGGAAGAACAGATTCTTAATAGCAAAACCCTCCCACACTGTCCCACCTTTCTTCCCAGGTGGAAATCAAGGGGAGAGAAAGGGGAGAAGGCAAACAAAAGAGACTTCAATTACATCTTTTCCTCTTTCCAGAGAATGACAATATACCCTTTTATTGTCTGGCATAGCAGGAATTCTCCCTAATTTTTAACAGCAATTTCTCCTCCATGGCAGATGTAATTCTGTCTTTTGAGAGTTGTTCTTGACTATGTTCAGAGCTGAAGACCTGAAGCACTTCTGCTTATTTAATTAAAGTTTCAACATCCATATGAAACTGTGAGCAAGTTAAGAGGAAAAAAAAACACAGCCTGAATTTAGACCAACAAATCTCAACTGGCCTCATTTGGGAAAATCTTAAAACACTCGAAGAATAAAGTTACTGAAAAAAAATTAAAAGTCAAGAGGAATAAAACCTCAGGTGTTCAGCACAGACAACAATAAATCAGTGCACCAGAGGTAAGAAGGTATTTTAAAAGGGTATTTTTAAAAGAACCAAACAAAAAAGTCTCAGATACCTTCTTGAAGAGGCGTCCTGAGTCCTCGCTGACCTGCACAAAGCGGGGGATGATGTTGTTGAGATAGATGTCACTGAGGGTGGTGTGGTCCCTGCTCTCCCTCTTCACCTGATTGAGCAGCAGGTTCCAGCAGTTCACTGGCGACAGCACGTTCTGATCCTTCCTAGAAAGGGCACAAAACAGAAAAAAATTGGGTAGGACTCACCTGAGGTGAACACAACGATTCTGCTCGTGATGTCCTGTGTCTATAAACGCTGGAAATGCAGCCGAGGGATGGATGGATTTGCTGAGGGAGAGGAGAGCAGAGGAAAACACACAAAACACACCCTCAGCTACATCTCCCTCCATTCCCGTGGCCATAGGCTTTTGTCCCCCCAGCAAACAGATCCTGCAAATGCAGGCTGCAGTGTGCCAAATGCAGGCTTTAATTTTTCCTGCTGAATCCAGGATTTTGTGCATAAATCAGTGCCTGAGGGAGAGCGGTGGCTCCAGTGTCTGACAACAGGTTTCACGGTCCCGTCTCGAGCATTTGTGTCTGAACCACAATAAAAAGATTTCAAGCACCCAGTTGGCTAAAGAAGCATCTGCATAGGGAACGAAATGTTGTGTTTCATGTACAAACCCAATTATGTGAAAGCATCTCTATCTGTCCTGAGCCAAAGAGACAGAAACAGTCGCACAAGCAGCTTTATTTTCTCATCTTTGAACCTTCTCCACCTTATTACGGCTGATGCACCCTGCAAATAAGCAATACAAAGGGAGATGAGAGGAACCTCAGTTTCTCTGGATCAGCATTTCATCTGCTGAAAGGAGTAAGTCATTTTTTGGGGCACCATTTTATCCCAGACAAAAGCAGGGAGGTGAGCAGGGTGAGGTGCTTCAGCAATGCTTGGAACTGGCACATCCAGGTGGAGCCTTAAAAACATCATTTACTTCTCCCTAGGTCTGTTTATCATTCATTTACAGTACAATAATATTTATTTAGAAAAGACTAAGTCAGATCTGTGGTGCAAAGCCAAAGCTCTCCTTGACTGTTGTACGTGACTGTATCGGATTTCTTTCCTCTTAAAAAGAAATGTGGTTTAATTTCTATTGAAAAGGGAATATTCTGCACTTGAAAGGACAGCAATCTCTGCTGCAAGAAATGTCTGACATTGGGAAAATGGGAAAACTAAGCCAGGGCAGACTTTCATTACCCTCCTCATGACATCAGCGGTTGGATTTGTGGTGCAATATGGATAATTTTAGATAAAGAAGAACAGTTCAGAAGGGCTGAGCTTGATGCTTTTTTTCTTAAAAAAAAAAAAAAGAAAAGCTCAGGAATGACTGCAGCCTATGATTCTCAACTGCTTCAATGTTTGGAGTGTGTGTGTAGTGGGAGGGGATATAAAAAGGACTCTGGGCTTTTTGAGTTAAAAAAAAAAAAAAAAAACATGAGAAGGCACAGATTTAATTTAGAGACAGTATTTTCCTTCATATTCCAGTGTCCTGCACTGCAGGTACAAACCCAGATGGAACAATCCAAGTGCAGAACTGTACAAGGTTCAAGCTGCCAGATGTTGAGCCTTGTAAATCCAATAGCTGCCCCTCATCTGCAGCCAGTGTTTGCAGCATAATCCTCGTTTTCTTAATGTGCCACAGAGCTAATTAGTGACTGTGAGAGCTACATAATAGAATTGGGAATCTTTGGGTGCTGACCAGGCTGCAGCCAAAGTGATGAGCAAAGCAGAGCAGGAGCCATGTGCTCTGAGCCTGCTGAGACAGAGATAAGAGCTGCCACCACAAGAGGAGGTAATGAACACATTAAGGGTTTTTTCTTCCACTAAAAGGAGGGCAGGAGGAGAAACAGCATCTCCAGGAGGAGCTTCTCCAGGGAGCAGTGCTGGGTCAGAGGTGTAGAGGCCAAATGAAGAGCCACCAAACTGTGCCAACAATCTGTGGTTCAGGCAGAAGAAAGGATATAAAGAAAAGTTTATGAAGGACAGGACTATAAGATATTAAAAGCTGGTTGGTTTGCTCCTTCACACCAATGATATCACAGCACTTTACCCACTGACTCAGTATTTGCCCTCTAAAGCTGGCAGAGTTACAAGTGAAAAATCAACCAACGACCATAAGGACTTTGGGAATGAAACTTAGGAACAAAAAGCTCAAACTCTCCACCAGCTGACCTCGTTCTAGGTGTTCAAAATCCTGCCTCAACATCCCTAATGGACTGTCAGCCCAACCCCACCACGAGCAGCTTGGAAGAGCTGAGAGCCTCAAGGACCACGAGTTAGGAATGCATGGAAAGGAGCAGAGAGCAGGTACAAGGGCCTTGCTTCCCAAAGCAAACTGAAGCCCCAGGGGGAACCAGAAGAGATGCAATAGTTAACTGGACAATTCCCAGCTGTCCAGCCTGCCCTGCCACAACACCCCGAGCTATTCTAAGGCAGCACATAGCAGGAATACCAGGAGCCCATGAAAAGCCTGGTGAGCAAAATCACTGGTGTCTAATGGCGCCAGATGGGTTGTTGACACACTCCATGTGGTTACACATGAAAGGCCATCCTGCAGGAAAAAAATAATCCCAAGCCCACATGTTTCCAATCCGCGGCCGGGATTGTCACCTTGGGATGCGCCGCGAGCGCCGCGCCCCGAGCTCAACCTCAGGCAGCCACAGCTCTGCACATTTCGGGGTTTTTCATTTAAATTCCTTTAATTTCCCGGTGTCTGATGGGTTCACTAACCCCTTCAGTGCCTTGTCAAAAGGGTCCTTTGCTGTTGAACAGGTTTGATGTCTCCACGACGAGGCTTTTACAGGAAGGGAGGCAAAACCTCCCCGTTATTTGCGAGCGACGATTTTCCCAGCAAAAAGCAGAGAAAGGCAGGAATGAAACAGAAGAGGAAAGAGGCACTGACTTGCTTCAGACCTTCCAAGAAGCCTTTAAAACTCCACACAGCTTAGAGCACCTCTAAAACTGCAGCATTTCCCGGGGTGGAACATGGCCACAGTTTTCACAACACAGAGCAGAAGTTCTACAACTGTTTACAGCAAACCCTTTTTGAATCGTAACCACGAGCAGATGGCAGAGAGGCAAATTGTGATTTTCATTAACCATTTGAATCCTCAAAGGAGCTGGCAAATACACTCTGCTTCCAGTTTCATGTCACCACAGAGGAGGGGTGAAAAAGGGAAGGAAAATATGCAACAGGGACCGCTGGGTACGACCAAGAACAAGCTCCATTTCCACACATTCCGCAGGATGACGGAGTCAGTGTTCACCCTGAAGTGATAAAAACTGATGAGATCAACCCAAAACTTTAGGACTTGGATACAAATTTTCCCAAAGTGCTGGCAACTTCACATTGGAGTCAAACTCCCCCCCCCGTGAGGGGGATGAGGAGAAGAAAGAGGAGGAGGAGGAGGAAGACGCCAAGATCCAGGTTTATTTCAAGCACTATTTATACTCACATAAAGATGGTGTGATGATAGTGAATCTGGAGAGTTTATTTAGGTTAGCCCAAATTACACCAGATCACAGCAATCAGGGGTGTTTGGGAGCAGGAAGAGGAAGTTGTGCACAGATTTTTAGGGAACCACAAAGTATGAAGCTCTGTGGTTTCCCGGGCGTTATCTTGATCGGGTCCTGTGCAACTTCCACTTCAAAGTTTTCAGCTGGTCTCAAAAGATCAGAAGGGAAGGCTGAGCCTCAAATATCTGAAATGTCTTAATTAAATTACTCATTCATACAAGGACCTTGCAGACAATCCAAGATTTGTCTGCTTTAAGGCAAGCAGGAGAGAGAGACAGACGACAGTGATACAGAGTTGGGCATTGCAAAGTAACAGCAGAAAATATAAAATAGATTTAAAAAAAAAACAAAACAAACAAACAAAAAAACCCCAAACAAAAACAAAATAAGTGATTAAAAATTTGAAAAATTCAAAAACCACATCCACAAAACAGGAATAGGAATATTGGGTTTCCATAAGGAGCACCAGACAAGGGAATGAATCAGATGAAAATTAAAATGTTACTAAACAAACACTCAAATGAATGAACATAGAATCACAGAATGGTTTGGATTGGAAGGGAACTTAAAGTTCATCCAGTTCCATCCCCTGCCATGGGCAGGGACACCTTCCACTAGCCCAGGTTGCTCCAAGCCCTGTCCAACCTGGCCTTGGACACTCCCAGGGATGGGGCAGCCACAGCTTTCTCTGGGCAACCTGTGCCAGGGCCTCCCCACCCTCCCAGGGAAGAATTCCTTCCATACATCCAACACAAACTTCTCCTCTTTCCATTGGAATCTATCCCCCCATCAGTTCCTCGTGAAGGGTCCCCTCTCCAAGGGACATGACACTGTCCATGGGAGCAGAACCCTTCCTGTGAATGATGGTTTTAAAACAAGTCTCCTGGTGGTACACACGATATCAGAAGTTTCCTCTTCCACCTCCCCAAAAATTTTCAGGACCTGCTCCCTAAGGGTGTTCAATGGACACTTCCAGACCCAAAACACATCCTAAAACAGTCCACCCTGCAAACCATGGAGCTGGAGCCAGGCCAAGGGTCAGAGCAGGGATTTAATTGTTGCTGCAAACACTATTTCAAACCTCTCTGAATTTTGCTCTCTGGCAACAGTGGCTGCAATCACACCAAGCAACACAGGGCGAGACTGGGATCACTGATATGATGAGAAGCAGCACAGAAATCCCCCCCTGAGGCTTTACATCCATTTTTGCTGGTCACGTCTCCCTGGCTCTCTGCATTCAAGGAGGTCACTGAATAAATGAATGTTTCATGCTTAGAAAAACCTCCCAAACGCTGGTACTTGACAGACTCGGGCAAAAATGTGCAGGACTCAGCTTCAGCAAAAAGAACCACAGGTCAAAACAGCCTATGACAATGTTTTTTATCATCACCATCATCATTATTATTATTATTATTATCAACATTATCATAACGATGATAATGTAATTGAAGTCCACGTGACCCAAATGCTTCTGTCAACGCCTCCCTCACAGCCTGTATCATCTTGGCTTTAAAGAAATCATTTGGCTTTTAGGACAATTAAAGCTGAACTTCTCTGCAAGCTGCTCATTCAACTCGAGCTCTGATTTTCCCTGACGCAGCTCAGCGTTAACTGCAAATTTTGAGAATTACAAGCATGGACATCCATGCTGCTCCCTGCCCTTCTCTTCCAAAAGATTCCAGTTATGAACATCTGTTGTTTACAAGTGCTCAGCCTGAAGGTTGCCAGACTTATTCTGCATCTTCTACTTCAAGGCAAAGGCTGCCAGAAAGCCATCTGAATTTCATGCTGGGATATCCTGGACATTCAGCTCTCCAGCTGACAATTGCTGCTCAGTGTCCTGCTTCCAAAGATTATCTTGATTTAAAATATGGCCTTAAAATAGCATTGTCTTTTCACTTTTTTTTTTCCTTTTTCTGTTTGGTTTTTTTTTTTCTTTCCCATTTTCTCTCTTGAAAGGAATCACTCAAGATTTGCCACGGTTTTTATGCTTTTTGAACAGTCAAATGCCTCTAGGACAAAAATCATGTGAAACAGGAGGATTGAAGGTTGGAGCTGAAGGTCCCAGGGTCTCACTGGAGTGGGACAGAGCCTTTCTCTGGGGCTGGAAGTCAAGAAGAGACCCCCAGACCCAAGAGACACCTGTGAGGTGGATGCTCTGATTTACCTGCTACACACCTTAGTCAGGCAGATCTTTAAGGAGCAATGACTACACCAAATCTGTCACCACCAAGCTCTTGTAACAACCAGAGTTAGAAGACTTGGGCTATAAAATGCCCTTTTTTTCCTCCACTCCTTGTGCCACTTCTATTTACCAGTGGGTTCTGAGGAATATATATAATATATATACCAAATATATACATTGTGTATGACTCTTTAATAGCCTGTTCTGACTGAAAAAACACATTTTTAAAAGAGAATAGGCAGAGTGAGGTCTAACAGCCATAGTGGAGAGTTAAAAGCAAGTAAAACCTGGGATATATCCAACTGCCATCAACTCACATGTCACCTTGGCTAAATCAATCTGTTCCCCTTCTTCAAAGATCTCAGATGAGAATAACACACACCTACCTCTGTAAATCATTTTAAGAAGCTTCAAGCTGAGCACTGTGCAAACACCCTTTCAGTCCAGCCCCAGCTATGCAGAGTTTGCTGTCAAGACCCAACCACTTACACTTCAGAACCCATATGGAAAATACTCCTACAACGACAGGCTGAGAGAAATTGGATTTGTTCAGCCTGGAGGAGAGAAGCTTCAGGGTGACCTAACTGTGCCCTTCCATACCTGAAGGAGCTGACAAGAAAGATGGAGAGGAATTATTTACAAGGGCTTGGAGTGACAGGACAAGGGGGAATGGCTTCAAACTGACAGAGGGTAGGTTTAAAATGGATATGAGGAAGAAACTCTTCCCTGTGAGGGTGGGGAGGCCCTGGCACAGGTTGCCCAGAGAAGCTGTGGCTGCCCCATCCCTGGAAGTGTCCAAGGCCAGGTTGGACGGGGCTTGGAGCAACCTGGGCTAGTGGAAGGTGTCCCTGCCCATGGCAAGGAGATGATCTTTGAGGTCCCTTCCCACCCAAACCATTCTGGGATTCTATGCAAACGTGCCCACCTGACCAGCTCCCCCTCCGAGGCAGGAAAACAAACCCCACAAAGCAAAGCCTTTGTGAGAACCCCCCCAGCAGCCTGCCCTTTCCCCTGCTCTTTTCCTTGAAGCCTGTTCCTTTTTCCCAGCTGCTGGAGGAAGCCACACAATCCAATTTCAAGGGTCAGCCTGAAGCCTCCTGCCCTTGACAGCGTTCCCTTAAACGATCACAGTCGGAGCAACTCGGCAATTACATAATAGCTGTTGAGTATGAAAGCACATGCAAATTACAGGGTGAGAGCCTGGCAGATTCCCTCCCTGAGTGTGTGTTATGGGATCTAAAAAGGGGCCAGTGACACGGGGAGCAGGCCCTGAATGATACGGTACCTTCCGACATAATTGCCAGGTTCTGGGGAGAGCAGCCTATTATGGGGTATTTATAGGGTCAGAGCCAGGCAATTACAGCCCAGGGCTCCTCTCACAGACATGTAATCCCAGGCTCCCGAGGAGGAGAGATCTGATGGCTGCCTTTGATCAAACGGGCTTCTGGGGGCTTCCCGAGGAGATTACAGCTTCAGCATCTCCAGAGGAGATACCAGCCAAGATAGTCTCCCCAGCTCAGACAGGGCAGTGGTGGGGAGAGGTAATTATAACTGGAATTGCTTCCTTGCTGATCCCTGTGGTATTCTGACACAACTCTGACTGTCGCAGACAGCAGACAAGCGACCAAACAAGTCCTAGATGGAGGAACCCAGGACAGACAGCTTGACCTGTGCCACTGCTGTGGCCAGTATTGCCCATAGAATTGGTTTTTTCTCTTATTTCAACTCAACAACTGATACACTTGGGACTCAGACTTCGCAGGGGTAACATATTCCAAGAGAAAGGTATTTTTCTGTCATTTTTCTGCTCCTAATATGAGTGAAATGAGGAGCCTGAGCAGCATCAGCCCTCTCCCTGCAAACTGAAGTTGATGCTTAGGAACAGCTTTCAGAGTATTTTGGGCAATGCCCTGCACTTGACCAGAAAAGCATGGACATTTAATTCAGAAATTCAAGCTGAGGTTTTATGTGCTGACAAAATCACCTCTCCAATTCAGGCTACACTCCATAGCTGGGATATCTGAGGTCAATTTTGCCCAGGTACAACTGTATAAATCTTATCTGAAGGACAAACAGCTCAAAAACCAGGGCAGGGGTCAATAAGGAAACTGCATTAGAGTAAAAAAAATAATAAATTTAAAACTCTGCAGTATCACAGCCAGCATGAAGTATTAATTCACATGAAGTATGACACCATGTAGGAGTCTGTCTGACTACAGTCAAAACTTCCACATTATACATTCACTCTAAATCTTCAAATAGGAACTTTCCCAGCACTGGAAGCTGGATATAAAAGCATTTCTATGGGATGTTTCACACCGTGTAATATAAAGGAAATCACCTCAATTTTCACCAGGAACAACAAAAAAATCAACTGAAAAGACCACTCATAATGCAAAGGAAAATTACAGTTCAAGGCATAATTTCTTTAGTGCCATCTTAAAGGCATGTGCAGAATACACACAAGCTTATAGTTGTAACAACATTTGCACTGGAGAGGAAAAGAAAAAACACTTCAGACAAGGACAGGTCTATAGATAAGCAGAATAACTCTTCTCCAGCCTGTCAAACAGCTCTGCTGGGCAGTCAGGCTTTCCCAACAACGCAGCACAATGTGTGTTTTAAAGGAGAACTAAATCAAATTACATCAAAGCTGCACAGAAAGAAAACTAAAATGGTGCCTCCTTAATGGCTTCCACAAGAGGAGCTGCTGGTGGAGCTGGAAAGCTGCTGCATCCCCACATCCCTGCAAACCCAGCAACAACCAAACACAAAACCCGGGGAACAGCCCAACCCAAACAACGCTCGAAGTGACGCCGCATTTTGGGCGGGGGCAGACCCAGATGGATCCTCTCAGCCCGATCTGTCCAAAGCAGAAATGATTCAGGTCCCAAGGCTGCTTTAGCTCCGTGTTTTTCCCCAGCTGCTGCCCTGACAACAAAACCCAACAAGCCCCGTGCTGCTCTGCCCAGATGTCAATCCCGGGAGCTCCGTGTTGGTCGCCTCCTCGCCGGGCTGGTGGCTCTGCACCAGCCCCTTCTTCATCCACAGGTCCTCTCTTGCATCCCCCCCTTCCCTGGGAAAAGCACCTCCTGGCAGGAGTCAGGAGTAAATCAGAAAGACTCCATGAAACCACGTTCCTACATGTGTTAGTCATCCCAACTCAGATAAGTGGGGAAGAACCAAAAACCAGGAACAACCACAGCAATTCCAGACCCACTTGGAAATAATCCTTCAAGCAGGGGAAAAATTGACTGTTGATAAGGACATCTTTAAATTTTAACTGAGTCCCATCAGCTTAGTACCTTGGGATTCCCCTGCCCCCAGTGGCACAGCTCTGTTGGACTCAGGAGCACTCCTGGCCTCATTTCTCTACTGTTTGAAGTGATAGTAGCAGAGATACAACACTCAACTCCTACACTGAGTATGTGTGGGATATTGAAAACAGAGAGCTGACAGCATAAAACAGATTGGAAACAGTTACTCATAAAAAAACCCCAAAAAACCAGACCAAAGCCACCGGCACTGAAGGAAATCCTGGCTTTGTCCATCAAATGTGGTGCACGGCTTTGCCCACCTTTCCCAAGAAAATTATTCCTTTTACACGTGCCAATTTTTACCATTTCATTCCCTACTGACAGCATTTGACCTACCAGGAATAACTGAAATAAGCATCCAGAAACATGGAATGGGTTCTGTGTTCAACCCAAACTTGGGAAACGTTTGACTCTGACATTCACAGCAGGGCTGGTACCTACATTCACTAGATCAACTCTCTTTCCCATTCCTATCCTTGCAATCGAATCTCAGAGAGGGGAAGGGGGAGAAAAAAGGGCAAAAACAAAAGGCAAATACTCTACTTGAATTGCTGGTCTTTGGTGCTCCTAGTTTTAGCCAGGAATCTCTCAGCCAACTTCTCCAAATTCCTTGAGTAATCCATCTCAATCTCTGCCTTCTTGCGGAAGAAATCCTGCAAGTCCTGCAGTAACTGGACCCGAAGCTCACACTGTTGGTCAAGGCATTTCAGCTGCTCTACCAATTGGGCACGGATCTCTGCAACAAATAAAAGCACTACAGATTAAAACAAAATCCCATCAGAGAAAAAAAAAACATCAAAAATCTCCAAGAAAATGTAGTTATAAATACGTTCCCTCATTAGTGACACGTCAGCAAAGCTCCATCACCGTGATTGACTCTACCTGCAGACAGAAAATGATTGCAGTTGGATCTTGGAAATTCAGCCAAAAACCTGCAACCCGGTGCACAGACCTACCAGCAAAGCTCCACTGCTGGAAAGCGCATCAGTAACAAGTGTCAAGTGCATTTTTGGCATCGGGAACAAGTGGTCACTGCCTAAAAATGTACTGAATCTCAGTCTGGAAAAAGGGCTAAATGCTGCAATACCCCACGTCAGCTCCGAAAATCACTTCAGGGAATTTCTATCAAATTCCTCCGCAGACGATTCCTGATGCAGAAACAAGACGTTGCACATTCTGGGGCACTCCCCGAAGGCACCAATTTTGGATTATTCAGTTAGTTACTGAGTCTCCAGCTGTGCAGCTCTCGTTATAAACCAAGCCATGAAACAGAGAAAAGACACCCCTTCAGGGAGCCAACACGACAGCATTTCCCATCAGGGAATTATCTCCAGGAAGATGCTTTTTAAAAATATCTGCAAGTATGATATCTATGTCTGAAGGACTCATAAAGCACACGGATATAAGTGTTAATATTATAATTAATAATATTAATTATTAACACAAATTCATCATAATTGCAGCATAATTATTATGAATGTATCTACATGAACACAATATTTTACAAACAGTTTTCAAACGTTTCACAAATATGAAAACATCTCCCATTAGCATGGAGCCAGGTGTCCTCCTTATCCTGAATCTGAGGGACAGAACAGTGAAATGACTCACTCACGGTCAAAGAGGGCAAGAAAACACAGCAGAAGCGTGTCACTCTCAGTCTAAAAATGCAGAAATATTCAGTGATGCAGCCAGTAAAGGTTATTTGGCTTTTATACAGGCAATAAACTCAACATGAAACCAATAAAATATGCACTTTCATCTCAAGGTCTTTGAGCAGTCAAACTGTAGAGAGGCCTGACTGTTAGTGCTGCTCTTTCCAAAGGTTTTCCAAGCTGTGCTGTTCCAAGCTGAATCCAGAACCAGCAATAAAATAAGCAAAATTCACGTTTCCAGCACTCACAGCTTTTCTTCCCATCAACACGCTGCGACTGCAAGTTTGTCACCACAGCCAAAGGTGGGGAGGGGATCATTTCCCAAATGCAATTTTTTTAATCAACTCCTTCACGGCTAATTCCTGAAATTCATAATCTCAGAGGCCAGCCTGGCTCCTCGGCGTGCTTGTCCCTTTGCCCAGAAAAAAGCAAACCATCTGGACCTCCGTGGCTTCACTCCTGCCATGCTCTGTTGAGCATCAGCTGCCTTGAATCCTGCTCACATCTGTGGGGGCAGTTTTAGGGGACCCATCTTTATTTTAGGGACTCCCAAACCCAAAACACGTGTATAAAATTACAGCTTCTAGTTAGAACTTGCCAAAAAAAAAATAAAAAAAATTAAAAGAAAAGCACAACCTGTACGAATGTGGGGTTTTCAAGCTCGATTAGCACTTTAATTTGGTAGTTCCACTTCTCTCAGACTGTAGCCAAGGGCTTCCACAGCAAGGAGAGAACACAAGCAGCAAGGTCATGGCAAGGGACTCAAGCCCAAGTCCTATGAGGAGAGGCTGAGGGAGCTGGGGCTGTTCAGCCTGGAGAAGAGGAGGCTCAGGGGAGACCTCCTCACTCTCT